TTGAAAAGCGGTCCAAATGATCACGTGTTTATTTATTATTTTGGTCATGGTGATGAGTCAGGTATAAAAATATACTGTCAATATAGATTGTATATCTAATTTTTAAAATAACTATGTAAATATTCATTACATCTAAAATGAGTACGTTATTAACAATATATTTTTGAAATTTTGATGAAATGCACTAACTACATTTTTAATTTTAGAAATAATTTTCTAAAAACTTACCCTTACAAAATTCTTACAACATAAACTAACTAGTATCAAAATCTTTTATAATAAAGGCTTTATCCAATTGATTGAGAAAATATTGTATCGAGATGAATTAATGGCAACATTTAATTATATGTATCGTAATAATAAATATGCGAAGTTGGTGATTTATATGGAAACGTGTTATTCAGGTAGGTTAAATAGGTATAATTTTGTAAGATTGTTGATTTATTATAATTTTTATTTATACATTTAAGGTGCAATGTTTACAAAGTTACCAAGTAATATTAACGTATACGCAATTTCTAGTAGTAAAATTACTGCAGTAAGTAGTCCTTGCTTATTTGATGATAACATCGGAATGTTTGTAGGTAATAAATAATAACTAAAACTACATGTACTTCTATTATTATTTTAAATTCTGCAAATTCTTCAAATGTATTTTAATCGTATTATTAATTTCTACTAGGTGGTTGTTTTGAAAAGCCGTGGCTAGATGATTTGGATAGTAAAAATGATCCAGACGAAACACTGCAACAGCAATACGAGTATATCTACAAAAGTAGTTCTGTGGTCAGGGAAAAAATTAGACTTGTACGAAATTACTCAGTGCCGCTCCCCGTGTACCCAGTACAATTTGGCGATTTGCGAATTGCTAAATTAAAAGTATCGCAATTCTTCAGCAATTGATTAGTACTATGATACTTTTGATTAGCAAGCTAATAAATACTAAATAACTTTGAAAATTGCAATTACAAATAATAATTTCCTTATTTATCGTAATAATGCTAATTATACGTGTAATTCTGCTATAAAGTGTGCATAATCATATTGATTGTTGTTTAATTATTAAATCATGTTATTTAAAATAAACTTTTTTTATTTGCATGCACATATTTTTGTAACTTGGAATTGTTAATTAGAATTAACTAGAATTTATTATTGAACATATAATTACAAAACAAAGGTCGGATTGAAAACTAATTAAATATTCCGCACTAATTAAATGGAGCAATCCGTGGTCAGCCATATAACCTCCGTATATGAGCTCAACATCTAAAATAATTTAAAAGCATATTTTAGCTTTGGGTGGTGGTGGGGAGTAGAGTGGTGTAGCGGTTAGAGTGTCGCACTAACAATAGCTAAGTTAACGTTAATCAGTATAGGCGGGCAAGAGATCGCGCCCCAAGCGAGGAAAAATTATTTTTTTATTAAAAGTTTGTTAAAAAGTTTTGAAGTACTTTATATATATATAATAATTGTACACTGTTTGTTTATTTTAAAATTGTATTTCTTTAATAAATTATAATAAATATAAATTTTATTTTTTATAAAGATTATTGTCATTAAGTTGTTTGAAAATTCAAAAATATTTGTTAAAATATAAATAATTAATATAGATAAAAATTTAATATAATTATGTTAAGAAAATTTTTTAAAACTACACTGCAGAAAGTTTATTAATTAAAAGTCTAAAATAATAAATTATTTTAAATGACAGTTTAATTATAAGTCATACAAAACACTGATTGTAGCCATGAATTGATAGCTATGTTTAAAAAATAATAAAACTTTTCATTTCTAGTAAAGTTAGTCTAATTCCCGGTATTAAACATATGCAGACAAAGTGTATTAACTACTTCCAGGTGGTGAACAAGATCATCCTAAATAGATTACATGTTTTACTTTCACAAAATAAAAAATATAAACTTAAAATCTTATAATGTTTTCAAAATTTTACACATATTTTGAAATAGACCACTTAATTTTATTATTTTATAAAACAACACCTATTTATTAATCAAATAAAATGAATAAGTTTGTTATAGTGGTTCTCATATTTATTTGCGCAGATTGCCTTGGTAAATTGTATAATATTTATACACTAAAAGTTAAATTGTAATTAAAAATAAATTAATAAAATTTAAATTTCAAGCAAAGGACAGACTGGGACTACTATATGCTGAGTACGACGATTGTGTGGGTTATTTCACCAGGATCATACGTAAGGCCGAATTTAACTCCAACGATGCTCAATGTGACAACACCTGGATCAATTATGGCGCACCTGATGAGGCCTATGGCTATAGGAATAGCCGCAAAACTCGCATCATATCAGTGGTCAATAACATAGATAAAGATGTGATGGGTGAGTATTTAAAGTTTAATATAACAAGTATCAAGGTATAATGTTTTTTATTTAACTTATCCCTAATTTAATTCTAATAAGTTATAAACTTTTATTTAACTAGGTAATAAAAAATTTGTTAAATGATATCTAACTATATTAATAGGCAATGAGTGGTTCTATGCGGTGGGAACGGTAGTCGAGGGCCAGTGTACGGGTGCACTCATATACATACAGAACGACGTGTACATGAGAAACGGTACGTGCGATGACGGGAAAGGTATTACGGACGTGATGTCTGACGTGAATCAGGCCGTCATAGACATTAGGGGCGAGTCGTGCGACACCCGATGCAACGGCACCGTATGGTTCAGATACCGACCCGGAAAGACGTATTAGTAACAAGAAATAATTAATTTATAAAAATATTTATTACATATAAATCATATTCACTCTATTAGTTCATTATAGTTATATTAATGGGCATCTGTCCAGTTAATAATCTAGATAAATTATCAATGACATTTATTATTTATTTACAATTCATGATTTATCTGTTAAATAGGCGTTCACACAATTTGATAATCTATTTATTTATTTATAGTTAAAACTTTATAATTAATATTTATTGATTAATTTTTAAAACTATTTAGAATTAGCATATATACATTTTTAATATTGAATTAAAATTCAATTGTCCGGTAAACTGTCCATGTGATTTATTTTTTATAAATACGTTTTTATGTAAAATTTTTATTTTATAATTAAATTGCAAGATTAATAACTTTTACTTAATCTTATTCAACACAGTGTCTATATATCAGGCTAATTAACATCATTTGGTTGATATTAATTTGTTTTAAACATTAATAATAATTTAAATATTGTAAACGTAAAACATAGAAATCTAAGGTTATGCTCAGATTAAATTCATAGTTATTGTAATTAACTTTAAACAATGATAATTTTATATATTATTATCATCGCATATAATGTTTAGGCGTTGATTTTAAGATTATTGCTTATTAAATGTAATAAGCAAGCGTGCAAGGAATTTACATATTTTAAAACAATATCTCACTAATATAACTAGAAAGTGAAATCTAAGCAAAATAAAAAGCCTAATATTAAATGTTTAGATTTCTAAACACAATTCAATAATCAATTTTAGTTCACACATAAATAACCCCCACCCTTTTTTATGCCTGCGTGTTATTGGGCTTAATACTGTATGTGTTAAGACATAAATTATTTTACGCAAAAATTTTGTGTCTGACGGGAGAGAGAGAGAGAGAG